AGGGAAGAGAAGAGCACACTGGTGCAGGCTGGGTGGAGCTGTCCCCCGGTGGAACACAGGCATACAGAAGCCCCCGCCCTAGCCCTGTGGCCTCAGGCCAGCCTCTCACTCCCTAAAGGTGGTCCCTGCACAGTCCCGGGACAGTTCCTTCACCGCCCCCTCCTAGGGCAACGGGTCTGAGGAGCTTGTCCTGGCTGTGTCCATGTCGGAGCAGTGGCCCAAGTCTAGGATTCCCAGTCGTCCTCATCCTCCTCTGCCTGTGGCTCATGTGGTGGCGGCAGAGGAGGGACGGAGTCTGACACGTGGGCAAAGGCTCCTCCAGGTCCCTCACCAGCCCCAGGTCCTTTCCCAGAGATGCCTGGAAGGAAAAGGCTGAGTGAGGGTGGTGGGTGGGAAACACTGGTTCCCCCAGAGACTTAAAACACAGGAAGAAAAAGGCAGGAGAGAATTACAATGTGCCGGCCCAGGGCGGACAGTGGCCCTGCTTCCTATTCCTACCCTTGCACCTCATTATCAGCTTGTTGAAGAGATCCGACATCAGGTCCCCACCTTGGTTCGTGGCTCTCACTGCAATGGGAAAGCCACAGAGTAAAGGGTTCAGTCACATGAAACCCCAGCTCCCTGTCCCCACCCCGACGACACTCCTCAGTCTTCCAAGGCCACTGTGTTTTCCAGTTAGCTCAGAGCTTCAGTCTATCCCTGACCCGACACTGGGCACTGATGAGAATGCACTTACATTTAAGGAACACTCTTCGAGCCACCCTCAGGGACAGGGCCAGGGTAGGCAGCACCGTTGCACAGGTGGGGAAACTGGCCCAGAGAGGTGAGGCATCTTGCCTGGGGTCACTGAACAAGGCACAAGCAGCGCTGGGCACAAGCTCAGAATCATACTGCCCAGGGCACTGCTGCAGTATGTGCAGGCATCACATCACACCGGTGTCTGCGGTCACAGCAGGCACTATGGGCAGCCTCAGGAGGCCTCAGGTCCAGTCTCTAAAAATATCTCAGGAGGCTGTGGTGGCTGACCATTGCCTTGGCCCAGTCTCAGCAGTTGAGGAAGATTCTCCTTGCTACAGTTGGAGCTGGATGAGCTTAGAGATGAAAGCTCCACTAAGGCTCCCAAACCGGGAAGGAGCCATGGCCCAGGCAGGGAGGCTGACGACCTTGGGTGATGGCCTGGGGCTTCCAGCAAATGCCCTAGGGGAACCAGAGACAGGCTGGCAGGAGCAGGGGGTGGGCAGAAAGCACCCTGTGGACTCAGTGCCAGACAAGAGGCAGCGCTTTGTCCGAGGCCCTCCAACCACAGGCTCCAGGGCCCGCTCACCTTGCTCCTGCTCCTTCTGCTGCTGCTTCTCCAGCTTTTGCTCCTTCACGCTGTGCAACTTGGCCTTGCCGATGCCCCCGCCCCTTGGTGGATGGACTCTAGCAGAGTGGCCTGGCCCTCAGAGGGGTCAACCACTTCCCTGAGAACTCCCTCAACTGGAGGTGGGAGGTGGGGAAGAGGATAAGGAGGAAAGGCTGCTCAGGCAGGGCTGGGGAAGCTTATCATGTCCAAGACTCTGCTAGGAGGGAGGGCACCTCCCCTTGAACGAGGAGGTTCGTGTTGGGGATGCTCAGCCTTTGAAGACTCTGTGGGGCCTGGGCACACAGGACCTGGGCACTGACTTCTGCAACACCAGAGTGCAGGTGATGTGGGTGCAGACACTCCCTGACCCTCTCCAGCCCCCACCCTGCACAGCTGGAGCCCCAAGCTAGCCATGCACTGACAGTCTCAGTTGCACACATAAGCCAGTAGAAGGGTTTTGTGCCACTTCTGGATCCTAGAGACAGATGGGAGGTATAACAGTAAAGCTGAAATGCTGTCATTTCAGGGACACTGAATCATTTGTTGCTGTAGCTTGTTATTAGACCTTCTTTCCATAGTTTATTAGGCCTCTTCTTTCCATTGGTTTAACTCAGAATGGGGAGCCCGGAGCCTCACTTGTTCAGGCCCCCTCTGCCCAAGAGGTGAGAATTCCAGAGCTCCACAGTTTGAAAACCACTATTTTATGAACCAAGTAGAACAAGACATTTGAAACGGGAACTATTAAGAAAATCAAGTATTTCTGGCCACTTAAACCCACAGACAATCCACCTGGGTGCACTGAGCACACCAGAAATGAGCAGAGGTGTCCTCAAAGAGCTGCTCCCACCTGAAGGAGCCACACTGCTGCTGCCGCCGTCCTGCCTGGTGCCTGGGCCTACAGGGGCCACGGCTGAGGGAGTGGGGGGTGCACTGGCCAGCACCTCAGGAGCTGGGGGAGGTGATGGGGGTGCTGTTAACACCCCATCTTCTAGGTCTAAAAGAGAAAGTGTGGGGTGTCTAGGGAAGAAGGTGTCTGAGCAGGGAGGTCCCTGGCTCAGCTCCCATCCCAGCGCCCAGCTCATCTGGATTGAGAGGCTCGGCTACCTCAGTGTGGAAGGTGGACAGTTCTGGAATAGTGACAGGGGCAGAGGGGACAATGCTGGGGCCCAAGTCAGCACTGTACATGGGGTCGTTGGCAATGCCGGGCAGGTCGGACAAGTAGGATAGCACACCAATCTCAGGTACTTGGCCCAGGTCTGGCACCTAGTAGTAGTTCTCTGGAACCTGGAGGATTAGGTAGGGACATGTGAGAGGTAACAGGGCCCTGCAGGGGCATCCTGCAAGGTCTTGTGTGTACACCCCATGGGTGGAATAAAGAGCTCAACAGCCTTGCCTGGAGAGGAGCCCTGGCAGGGCCCCCAGCCACTGCATCTGTCCCCACCCCAGCCCTGTTCCTCCCACCTGCTGCTCCAGCTGCTCTCTCTTGCTGATGGAGAAGGGGGCATCAAACAGCTTCTCCTCTGTCTCCACCCCCAGCATCACATGGGTCTTTGTTACAGCACCAGCCAGGGAGTCCAGGAAGACACACTACTTGTACCTACAGGGGCGATGTGGGGTCAGGCAAGCTGACAACTGCTGTCCTGAGCCCATATTCCTACCTCTCCCACACCATCAGGGGCACAGTGTGCATGGTGGGGTCCCAGGTCTCCCAAGCCAAGCCACCCCAACTACCCCATGGCTCCCAGCCTTGGTGCTATACCTGTGTCTAATGCCCCCAGTCCCCACTAAGCCAAGCCAGGCCTCCAGCCCACACCCCTCAGCCCTGCCTTCTGGCCATGCAAGATCTTGGTGGTGTTGAAGAGCAACAAGGAGCTGACAGAGCTGGAAGACCCCAAGCCTCTCCTCTGCATCATCCTCAGGCTCCAGCTTGGCACTCATGCACATAGGAAAGTACTTCAGCTTCTCCTGGGAGGGCCAGAGGGGCCAAGGGATAGTCAGTATTTAGGGCTGGGCCAAATCAGCTGCCACCCTTTCCCAGTCAGCCTTCTCTGCGGGACAGAACCCTATGGCAGCCCTGGCTCGTCCCCAGCATCCAGGCTTCCAGTGTGTGACAGGCCATGTGATGTGCATGGCCAGCAGACCTGCAGGGCCTGCCAGGCTTGCTCTGGATCCTGTGGTGGGGTCGTCTCTGCAGGCCAGGGTCCTGGACACCTGTGAAGATGGAGCCATATTCCTTCAGGTGCTCTGAACAGGGTACTTGGCACTGGAGAACACCTGTGGACGCAGGGACAAGTCTGAGGGGCCCCAAGAAGCTCAGATGGCTAGGCTTGCTTGGCAGGAGAGGATTAGAGTTGGGAGCCTGGGTGGGAGGAAAGTCCAAGGTACGGGTGGGCAGCAGGGCAGAGACTGGGCAGCCTCAGAGGCATGGAGTAATGAGGGACAGCCAAGTAGCCTCAGGACACAGGGGTAAGGGGGCTACCTTGATGGCCTTCTTGCTGCCCTTGATCTTCTCAATCTTGGCCTGGGCCAAGGAGACCTTCTCCTCAATGGCCTGCACCTGGCTCTGGCTCTGCTCTACCCACTGGGAGATCCTGCCATGGAGAAGATCACAGAAGCTGGGACTGCTCCCTACCCCCTGCACACCTCTTGCTCCTAACAGTAGACCTGCTAGACCAGCCCTCAGGTAAAGTCTCTTAAGTCAGGGTCACCTGCTTGCCAGGGCCAAACTTGGTGCCATCCAGGTGGCCTCTACAAGGATAATCTGACCTGCAAAATCGAGGAGTTGACAGTACTGAGATCCCTGCACTCTCGGTAGGGACAGGCAGCCACCTGGCCCTATGCTGGCACCTGCACATGCTATCTGAAGGACAGCCTCCAGGGCACACAGAGGATGGTATTTACACATGCACACATGGCTGTTGATGGAGCGAGGCAGTTCACAACCCCTCACGATCACATGCAGTAGACAAAGTGACCTCTGCAGAGGGGGAATCGAGACCGGAGGCTAAGAATGGTAAGGCTGGAACTGAGTGTTGTCACCTAAATTCAGAGGAAGAACCGCCCCTGCACATAGTGAATAGCTCACTGAGCAAGCCCTGCATCCCGACCATGGCCCACAGGCTCTGTATAGTCTAGC